ATAATAGCAGGTAAGTCACAGAAAAAGAACATACATATGAATTTTCAGGGCCTTTTTCTTATCTGTATGCAACAGAGACTTTGATTTAGTTTCCCATGTGAAAGGCAGGAATTCAAGACAGAAGTGCTTCCTCCTGCCATTTCAACAAGGCACTGAGTTTGACCTGACTCTAAGGGAAGTGTCAGGTGCTCAGTCATCCAGCATGTATTTCCCTAGACATCTCCAGTCCAAGTATCACTGCTTTTCCTTGTTCAGCCTAGCAAATCTGACAAGACCACAGTTCAGAGTAGCCTGACTGTGGAAAAGAAGCCACTGAAGTCATTAGGAGGTCATTTCTTTTCTGAAGACCTGTGTCTTCCCAGGGTTTTTCAAGTGGTGTCTACCAAACAAGGGAATAACAGAGAAAAGAGTGAGGAAGAGAAACTCAGATATTGTGGTGTTAACCAGTTAAAGACGTTGGGATAACTGCACTAATTGCTACTGCAGAGTAGGTGTCGTAGAGTGTGGTCAAACCATGTGGGAAGAAATCTTCCAGCCCTGCCCCATCCATCATCACATCAGTTGCAGTACTCTTCCACCCCTGGCAGGGCTGCTCAGGTTTTCTTCCATAAGACAGAACCCAGAAGGAGATTCTGGCTCCAGAAGGTTGGCACTCAACCAAGTATTTATAGCCAGAAGTGCCTGTCTGGCAAGTGTCATCCAGGATGGCCCAGAGCAGGCCAGTGCGTCCCTGGGGAAGGGCTCTCCTGGGCCCTGCTGGCCCCAGAGTACCACTGGCATCATCTGTATGCTCCATCCAAAGACAAAGGCAAGGACAGGACTTTGGTGGGCAATACTCTGCCTGGTTGTAACAGCAGCTGTATTGCAGCCCTTTGCAGGGCCCTGGCTACTGGGTATTTTTTTTTTTCCCCTTGCTCTTGTCTGTGCAGCTACAAGGCTGAACAGAAACTCTGTGTTTCCAGTTCAGCTGGCTGTGCTGGCTGAGGCCAACTCCCCTGTAACTAAAGCCAGCGTCCCTGTGCAAAGTCCTGCACCTGGGAAGGAACAATGCCAGCACTGGTATTTGTTGACCTTGATAAGATCTCCCTGAGACTCCTTTTCTCCAGGCTGAGCAGTCTCAGCTCTCTTGGCCTCTCCACATAGGAGGGGTGCTCTGGTGCCTTCATCATCTTTCTGGACCTATGTTGGACTCTTCCTCATATGTCCATGTCCCTCTTGTACTGGGGGACTCAGAACTGGACATGGTGCTCCAGGTGCAGCCTCATGAATGCTGAGTAGAGGGGAAGGATCACCTCCCTTGACCTGCTGGAAAGACAGCAAATGCAGCCCAATGCAGCCAATACCATTATCTTAGCGGCAAGGACTCACTGTGCCCCCAGGTTCAGCTTGGTGTCCACCAAGACCCCCAGGTCCTTCACTGCAGAGCCACCTCCTACCATGTCCTAGGGCTGGGGTTGTCTTACACCTCCCATTACCCATGGGGCATGTGACAATGGGATCTTCTCTGGACCACGGTCCAACTTGTTTGTGAACCACTTGGTACCGTAAAGACAGATGGCACTAAACTAATTGGGACGTACTCTACCAAGCTCACCCACACTGCAGGGGATATGGTCGAAGCTTTAAGCAAGAGTCACTTGCTCTACAAACCTGGGAGTCAAACAACTTGAAAACTTCCTTGTCTAACACTGGAGCCAGAAGGTTTGCTGCGAGTGATGGCCAAGCAGGCCTGTTCTGAGTGTACTTTGAGCTGTCTGGCATCCAAACATTACAAGTAACCCCTTGAAACACATTGAAAATCGTTTATGACCACTAAAACTGTCATTTTTTCTCCTTTTGCCCAGAATCATTCCAAACCCTATCCCCACACATCCATTTGTACGTATAGAAATAATAATCCTCTCATTGTGAGAGCACTGCAGAACTGAATTATACTGCATGCATATGAGGAGACATCTGTGTTGCAGACATGTCTCCTACGTATGCAAAAGTGAATGAAATTGGCTTCTGAATATAAAGGGAAACAGATTTCAGGAGGACGACAACCACAAAACAAGCTCACGGTTGTTGCTATAAGGCCTCCCTGAGAGTTGATGCTGAATTAAAAGGAACATTTTTCTAGGTCAGATCAGCAAAGGCTTTTCATCATGCTAACCCCATCTGCCCTCCTGAGCTGTGTTTTTCTCTGTAACAAACTCCCAGGGTAGCTCATGGCCTTTAGTCACCATCTCCAGCAGTACAGCTGATGCCTGCTGCTGTTTCTGGAATGGTTTCCCAGCAGCCAGGCAGGGTTGGTTTCTATAGAGACTGGAGATGGAAGAACCAAAGCTTAATCTGAACGTAATCTCAGTCCGTTATAATCACCTGGTTACTTCATGTCCTTGTCTTCAGTGTGTTACTCAGGTTCTTCCCAGCAACTCCCTTAAGGAAAATTGTACAAGGACAGGACCAAGAAAGCACGCGGAGGCACAGCGGTCTGTACCTGCAGGGCTGGGGACTCCTCTTACCGAAGGGCTTGGCCAACAAACCAGGGGTGGTATCGTAAGATCTGACCAGGATAGTGGAAGTAATATTCTGAGCAAGGTACAGAACGGCAAATCGGTGGCACCGGAGCTTCGGAGGCGCTCGCCTCACCCCGGAGAGGGAGCGACAGCCCCGTCGGGCCGGGCTCCCAGCGCGCTCCCAGCCGGGCCCGCCGCGACACCGGGCTGAGGGGCCGCGGGCGGCTGAGGGGCCGCGGGAGCTCCCAGGGGCGAGCCGCCCCCGGCAGGCAGCGGCCGGCCCTGCTCGCGGTGCCCCCGCCCGCCGCCTTACCCAGGCCCGCCGCGGGGGCACCGGGACGTTTTAAGCCCCGGGCCGGCCCCGGCAGGCGGCCGCTCGCAGGTTTTGCCGCGCACCCCCCCCCGCTCCCCGGGCGCCTCTCGGGGCAGCAGCCCCCCGGCGCCGGCCCCGCCCCTCCGCGCGCCAAGGGGGGGGCGCAGCGCGGGGGAGGCCCCGCCCCCGGCGCGCAGCCGCAAAGGCGGGCGGGGAGGGGCGGGGCTGGGGAGGGGCGGGGGCGGGGCCTCGCGTGCTCCCGCCCCCGCCGCCGACGCCGCTGCGCGCTGACGTCGCGCGCGGCCGGTGCGAGGGGGTTGCGGCGCGCGGCGATGGGGCAGCCCCGGCGGCGCTGCGGGGGCGCCGCGCTCGGCCGGTGAGTGCGGGACGGGACGGGACGGGGCGGGGCAGGGCAGGGCAGGGCAGGGCAGGGCAGGACGCGGCACCGAACGCGGCACCGAACGCGGCACCGAGCGGCCGGCCGCGGGGCGGCCCGTGGCTGAGGCGGTCCCCGCGGGCCGGGCCGGGCTCTCCGCCCGCCCCCGCCGCTGTCGGGCCGCGCTCCGCCGCCCTCCCGGCCGCCTCCCCTCGCTCCTCGCCCAGCCGCGCCGGGGCCGCCCTCGCTGCGGCCGGCGGGAGCTCGCGGGCCGGGGGCGCGGGGGCGGCCGGGGCCGGGGCCGGGGCCGGGGGCGCCTCCCGGCGGCCTCGGGGCTGGCGCCGACAGCAGCGGCGGGGCCGGGGCCGGGGCAGCGGCAGCGGGGGCTCCTGGCGGCCCGCGGGGGCGCCGCTCCTTTGTTCCAGCGAGGCGGCGGTGCCGGCCCGGCCTCCTCCCGGCCGGCTCCGCCAGCTGCCCGCGGCGAGGCGCCCGGGTCGGCTCCCGTAGGCCGGTGCGTGGAGGAGCCCGCACGCCGTGTGCCTGAGGGTTTCCCGGGGCGGCCTTCAGAGCACGGAGCTCCGCGGGTACAGCTGCGGCGGCAGCGCCGTGCGGGGCCTGGGCCTGGCGCTGGTACCGGGGTACCCGCGGGGCGTTCTGAGACATGACCGGAGCCCGTGTGGCGGCACCCCCGGCCCTGCAGGAGGGGCGAGGGCGGCCCCTCGGGGGACAGGGGCTGTCAGGCTGTGCGCTGAAGGTCCCAGCGGAGGCGTAGAGGGCAGCGATGCCCCCGTGTCAGGGGCCGTCACTTCAAACCAAGCGTCTGCAGGCTGGGACCCCTTCGTAAGGCACGTCTGGGCTACGGGCACCGAGGTGGTAACGCCGGGAGCCCGCTCTGATGCGCTGCAGTCCTCTTGGCTTGTGGTGCAGTTGTGCCGTCCTTGCTGCTGGTCCTGTCCTCAGTGGGTGGCTTCGCGATTAGTCAGTAACATGGTGCAGGTCTGGGGGAGCACCTGGAAACGGGGGCAGGGAAAGGAAGCCTGGTGTTGTAGCCCGGGGGCTGTGCCTCTCAGTGCTGGGGAGCTCTTGTCTCCTATGCCGGTGGACAGCAGGGCCCTCCAGCTTGCGGGACTTACACTGTTCTGCGACCGCCATGGTCCTGCAGTGTACCTGGGCCAAATAGGCCAATTTGCTGGAGTGTCGTATGCACCTGCGCCTGTGTAAGTTCCAAGATAAATCCTGACATGCCATCTAGAAGCATTTCAATGTATGGAAGCAACTTGTAGATGGAGGAAGATCTACTTTGTCTAGATTTTGCCTAAGAAAAATAAATGGGGGCTTAAGGCTTTTGTGCCTTTTTTTTTTTTTAAGTGTTTTGCTGTTTGATTTTTTAAATTATTTTTCTCCCCAATGTGTACCATGTGAAAATTGCTGTTTTTTTTTTTTTTTTTAAGAAGCTCTTTGTCATGTTTTGAGATCCCTCACATTTTATTTGATTGGAACTAACAATCCACTAACTAAAAGCAGCATCTAACTCAGATATACTACTAGCTGCATTTTATTTTTCCTTCAGAAATGTTACTCATACTGGTGTCAGTATGAGTGCTGGCTTTAGGAAGTTTACTTTCTGCCAGCATCTATTAGACCTACCACTTGCTTTGACGTGTTTAGTATCAGAGTCCAGTAAGTAGAAACACAGTCTTTCAAATAAGAGTTGGTTGCCCTCTCTGGAGGAGACTGTGGATCTGTGATGCTGTTCTGTTGCTGGTGAGATGTTGATGGGTTTTCTTACTATGCTTGTTAATTTTGACAGGTCCTTCTTTACAAAGAAGTTTTGTTGCCAAGATTTACTCTGAAAATGACCTGCACTACTGAATGCAGCTGTCTGCAAATGTAAAGCCAACAAATCATATCTCCCTCCCTCCTCTGAATTTCCTATTTCCTGTGGAATATATATGTCGAAGTATTTTTGAAAACAGATCTTTATTGAAGACATTTGGATTACAACTGTGAGCATATCTATGCAAAGAGACGAGTGAGTCTGAGCAATTTTGAGGTATGTATGCCTACTATATTTTATAACAAATGGATAATCAAAGTATGCTTCTGAAGTTGGGAATCAATGTGTTTGGGGAATGAAACTTTACTCAGTCTGCCCAAGGGTGGGAAGTAACAAAGCCTTATAAAAGTATGATATCTGAACAGAATACAAGTTCTTGGAACTTGGGCTCCCTGCTAGCTTTTGGTGAATTATGTTTATTCTCACACGTTGGAGAAGGAGGGAGTCAAGGTGGGAAGACGTGGAAAGAAAAGACCATCTGGTTAAAGGGGGCAGATAACTCTAGGTGTATGTTTTCTTGATTCAGATTGCTAAAGCTTCTATGAATAACAGTGTAGGTCAATGGAGTACACACATGTACAGTGAGACCGTGCAAGCACCAGCATATCCAGCTAGCATTATATGACATTTGACCTCATTTGAACCTGCCATAGGAATCCTTGAAAGCTGCCTTTCAGAAGAGCGATTTGATTGTGGTGTATGACCTGAGCCTTCATTGCTTAACCATTCAGTTCTCAAATGCTATGAAGCTCTGTAGATTTCTTCTTCTGAGCATCTGACAAACATTAAATAGTCACTGAAACGCACTTGGGAAACATTGGTTATTTCTCTAGTTAGGTAAAGAGAAAGCATTCAGATCAAGTTTTAAGATAGCTGCCTTGAATTGGAAAGCGTCTCTGGAGAAGACTAGAAGTGAAGCAGGGCTTGCTCGCCTTCCTGTGCTCGGTCACAGCACAATAGTCTTTTGCTCTGTGCAACTTGCTTAGGAGTTTGTAATACACTGCAGAGTATTCGGAGATTTGAAATACCTACTTGTGAGGCAGGTGTGTAGCAACTCACAGCAACGGTCTCAGAGCAATCTGCCTGTAATGTACAAGCTAGCAAAGCTGGGACTTCACTCTGTGGCTGTGCAGCTTTGTCACACCCAGGTAACGGAAGATGGAGAAACTTTCCTGTTTAAGAATTGCAGAACGTTTGCCAGCTTGCTCAGCTGTATTTTATCTTAAGGCTTTTAGCTGTAATTTCACATTGAATGCTAAAGCTGGAACGAGGAGGTCAGCTAATCTCTTCAGTGTGGGCTTGAAAGAGGTTAGTGTGCGGTGATACTATCTGCTCTTTCATAAGCTACTTGGAAATGTCTCTCCTGTGGGATGTAGGTGTTCATGCTAATATTTCTGGGCCATGGCAGCCTATCAATTAATTACAGGTTACAGTGACAGTCAGACAAACATCTCAGTTTTATAGAAGACTGGACTATTCATCATTCTTTCTTTAATGAAAACGAGTGTGCTGAAAGTAGATACTTGACTGAGTACTCTGGCATGCTCCGCAGATGCATAATGTGTCTTCAGCAGACAAGCTTTTCTAAAGAGCTTTCATTTGTGAGCTCCATTGACTGAAGCGGGGATGGTACAGGAGGAAGGGACTCTTAACCTGCCTTAATGGCGCAATGTTATTGTTCCTGTAACAGGAACACAAAGTGGACTGAATAAAATAGGGCTGATAGTGGTGTGCTGTTGTTGAGAAGGGGACCCTTCTCATGGCTGTAGTTATCCCTTCTGTTATTCCCCTGCAAGCAGAGTTAGGATCTCCAGGCGGTAGCTTGTTAAATTTCTCTGTTACACATGGGCAGAACTTACTGCAAGAAACTTCGGAGGGGTTCCTCAGTCTAGCCTGGGCATTGTTATTTGGCTATGGTACTATACCAAAATACCATTTGGCAGAAAAGTGTTTGTTTCCCATGAGCTGGTTTCATGAAAACTGGAGAAACACACTAGTGAAATATTTTGCAGAGCTGTCTGTATCTTACTGTGTGTTCTAGATAGTGTGGCAGGGACTTGGATTGGGGATTTGTTTTGTATTCTTTAAACTAGGTGCCATTTTAATCATATATAAACAAACTAAGGTCTTTGTAATTCCATCACTCAAAATTGATGCACGTTGCCCAAAAATGTTGTTGTTCTGTGAAAAATATTTAGATTAACAATTTTTAGTCTCTCTCTGAATATTGCTAAAATAATGTAGATTCTGTTTGGCACATCCCTAATCAAGTTACTTTGTTTCCTTGTCTGTAAGATGAGATTGATCTACCTTCATAAAACACTCAATTTCATGAAAATCGTCATTTTATTTGCAACAACTGTATTTTCATTATTCAATTTCATGACTAAGAGTGAATGCTAATATGTAGAATGGCAATGAATTTGAGTATAAAACAAAGTCTTCTTTTGGCATAAATAAGTGGTCTGAAAGGTGAATTTGTACACAAGAGAAATGTTGCTCTAAAACCAGCCTAAAAGGAGACAAACTTCTAAGAATGCTAAAGGGCACTGAGATGTTGAGACAGGTGGTAGTGTCACTGGTTCAACTTGCATGATGGGTTGTGATGAGAAGTTTGCAGACTCCTCCACTACTGGTTTCTTCAGAGAGAAATCTAGCGAATTTCCATATTTCTCAGACTTGCATGTGCTGATTGGTCTCCCTTAATAAATGCTTTATAGGCCTGGTTTTTTGTCCTGGACTTGTTGACTGTGATTTTCCTGGAAGTTAGTTGCCATGGCAATTGTCCTGTTAGCAAATAAATGTGTTTTCTATGGTTTCTGGTATGTTGGTGTGGAGCAGAAAGACTGTAGTCTTATCTGGGATCGGTAGAAGTAGCAGACCTGTAGAGGCTTCGTTGTTTGTAAATCACTGCCTGTGGGAGAGAGCTGAATAAGCATCTTATGCTTCAGTGGGTAACGGCAGTGAGAAGTAATATCACTTGTCCTGTTGGTAGGGAGCAGTGACAGAGCGCATTGCACTAAGTGAGGCTGAATAATGATTAAAATTGGAGAAAACAAACAAACAAAACAAAAAAAACAAAACAGCTTTTCTTCAGGGGCTCTTAGAGCTGAACTTCCTTGATTCAGGCCTAGAGTGGTTGACTGACTCAGTAACACAAAAGCATTTTTGATGGAAATCTCAGGGTGTGTGGCTGTTGCGATCCTTCACAATGTAGGGTTTCAGCTGGGATAACCTCTAGCTCCAGTCTTTTGCTTTCCTGTTGGTACTGGCTTGCTGTCCGTGCTGCACCGGAGCACTGCTGTCTGCTTTTAGCCGCTTAATGCTGGGGCAGTGAGCTGGGTTTCCAGCTGAACCTGTCCACACCAGTGCTGGGGCATGGGAGCCACAGCTCTCTGCAGACCTGGCAGATGGGTGTGTTCGTGCTTACACCAAGTGCGAGGTCAATGCAAATGGGTCTCAAAGGCAAGACACTTACCTGTGTTTTTGCTAAGGGAAAGCCCAGGTTGGGATGGCTGGGGGGATGTTAATTAGCTTTCTTTTTTTTTTTTTTTTTTCCCCTTTGCTGTGGAAGAGCATGCCAGTCTTCTGGAGCAGCAGCTTGGTTAGTTTGCAGTGAGTAGCTGTGCGAAGTCAGGCTGCTTGGTCTGTAGGGTGATGCTATGGACAGCAGTGATGGCTGATCCTGTTATCACTGACTGGGTGATCTCAAGACTGGATAACTGCTGTGTTCAGTGAGGCCATGCTTAAAAAAACAGTTTAAGTATTTCCATGAAATGGCTGTGTTTGCACTTCCCCATCCATCAGTATAGGCTGAGGGGCCTGGCCAGCTGGAAGGCAGTTCTCTAGGGAGTGACTTGGGAGTTCTCGTGGGAATCAAGTTGAACAAAAGTTCAGGAATCAAGCACCTTGTTCTTGCTTGGTTTTGGATCTGGTTATCATCCATTTCCTTAGTGGTAGGTAAACTTGAGACTTATTTCAAACAAATCCATTTCTGTGTTGTCTTGGGTGTATTTGTGTATTTTTTTTTTTTTCCATGTGGACTCTGCCATGAATGTGGGAGGAAACATTCTGGGTTTTGGCTGAGGCTGTAAATGCATGACTGCTCCATTCCCATTGGCAAGCAAGTTGTCAAGCCCGCTTTCTATATACCTGAGTGGCTGAGGTGGTGGAGGTGGATGTTGAAGAGCTAGCATGTTTGTGTGTGTGGCTGCTTAGCTGTGCAGCATTTCTGTGATTTGTGTGGATTCTCTAAAACAGCGTAATTGAACCTACTGGAAGCAGAGGGCTATGGGTGGGCATCAGTATTTTTATTGCTTGAGTCTAGGAAGTATAGTCCTTCAGTTCTTTAAAAAGCATTTTCAAAACTAGTCAGCTGCAGTTGAATTTATTTGACGTTGCAGTGAAATACTCATTACACCCATGCCAAGAAAGGTAATTAAATATGGAACAATGATCATACCTTTGCTATATCAAAACTTGGGCTAAAAGTGTCTCATATTAGTGCAAAACTAACCAAATAAACCACATTATGTTTGAAACACACAGATTCATGTTTAATCAACAAAGCATTAAGCCACAGGTTTCATACAGCAACAGTTGCATCTACGGCAAACGCTAAGCACTGCTCCCAAATGCATGCTGTTGTGCTGTAATCATGAGTTGTTGCTACTTTGGGTCCCTTCCTTTGATCTAAAGAAGTGCAGAAACTCTTTTCAGAGGTCTGGCAATAGGCCTGTGCACTTTCAGACAGGTACTTGTGACCCTACTTGGTCTGTGTTCCTGAGGTGCAGGGCTAGTTTGCCACTATTTCTGCCTGGTCGGGGACATGCATGCTCCGTGTTCCTTGTCTCAAACTGTGCTCGAGCTAACTGAGATTTACAAAACTGGCAATGATGAGTCAGGTTAAAAATATATTACACTTGTATCCTATTCCTGTCAGCATCTGGTAGCAGGTTCTTAGGAAAGAGTGTAGGTAAGGAGGTGCAGGTAGGGAAGTCTTTCTGCTAGGCTCTCCCAGTCTGTCAAGTGTTGTCTGAGGGAGTCTGGGCAGTGTTTAATGGGCACAACTGGACATCTTTGTAGCACTGCAGGGAGGGACTTAAATTTAATTGGAGAAGAAAAGATGTTTAAAAAAAACAGCCCCAGATAAAGGCCATTACAGTTACATTAATAAAGTTTTTAAGAGTTGCACTTAATTAAGAGCTCCCCAGACC